TGTGTGTGTGTGTGTGTGTGTGTGTGTGCGTGTCACACACACACACACACACACACACACACACACACACACGACGAGCAGGAACGAAGAAGGGGGGGGACACTCACCTTGCGAAAACGAAGACAACAGGAGGTTGGCCTTCAGGAGCGCGTCAAAAAAAATGGCGGCGGCGCGTCAACAAGAACACTGTTTGAAATTGAATTCAAATTTCCAGCGCCAATCTGCTGCAGGGGCATCACAGGAAGATGGGTGCTCCTTACGAGGGCATATGGCACATAGCCCAACGGAATGAGACCGCTTGTTGAGGGACAGCGTCATGGAAAGTTGCGCCACTACCGACGGGGGCCTAACAGGAAGATTTTCAGGCCCAGGGGCGCGGCAGGGTATTTCGCATGTCGGAGGGGCGCGACGCAAATAAATGGAAAATACAGGGGCGCCAGACAAATTTTCCCAAAAAGAAAAGTATGGAGTACATCTTTTTTTTTTTTTTTTTTTTAATAAACTGATCAAAACGGATACTACACTTGATCTTTTTAATAAACTGACCAAAAGGCCGAGAAAGGTACTTTTTTTTTTTTTTTTTTTTAAATAAACTGATCATAGCAAACACTACACCACGGCCTAGCTCAGTTGGTAAGGCATGCAAGTGGCATTCAGGAGGTTTTGGGTTCAATCCCCATTGGCCTCATGTACCTTCCTCGGCAAGCTTGGCACCCGCCACCTAGAGATATGTCGTTGGTCCCCCCAAGTGGCATTAAGCAGAGACTGCTGATGTTCATAGGGGGAGGGGACCGGAGGGGAGGCACAATGACTGGCCCATCGAAGAAGCTCGGTCCTGATGCTACCGGCTGACCCTGGCCAGTATCGCCCTCCTGCTGTAGCAGATATCGCACCTGCTGGTGGGTGCAGCTCCCGCATGTTCCCTCGTTGGAGGCTTGAGCATGGATGTGGCTGCTACGGGGTTCCCCGTAATACTATGATGACAATAAAAAAGGCCTGAAAGGCCGTCCTGTCCAGATTTTACAGGTAATTGAATTGGTTGGGCAATTAGCCTTTAAAAAACAAAAAAAAAAGAAGGTGAAATGATTTCTTGGAAAAAAAAAAAAAAAAAAAAAAAAAGGTGAAACGATGTACGTACGTCTTCAGCAGGAACGTCAAACGATACACTATGAAAAAGCAGGCCACAACTGATTTCGACCCGGCTGGGGAGCGTCGATAGCGGGCGGGTAGCGTAGCGCTCCGTTACCGGCACTTCTTTGCGTTTTACGCAAACGCTGTTCACCCGCCAACCCCGCCGTCATGACGGGGTGTGAAAAAGGAGACTTGCGCGCTCCTCCTCGAGGGCGTGAGGTTTCGGCCTCCCTGCTTTATCTCCTTGAACAGTCCTTCACCACGGTTGGGTAGGAATTGACTGTGTCACCATAGCCAGAGAAAGATGCAAGGGAAGGTAAGGCCAGGTTTTGGCCAATTATCTCGGAATCTAGATGTGCAGGCCACATGCTTCCTCATTATCAGTAATGAGGGATGTTAAGTCCGAGTAAACATTCTCCATCTGGTCTGAAGTTAATCCAGCAACGGACATGGTTAATTACCTCGGAATTTTAGCAATGGGAGTCAAGCGTCGTCTCACATGTGATAAGCAGGTTGGCCCTAGGCGGGAGATTCTCCTCCTTCGGGTGGGGAAGCTATCATAGATCAACGTGGGAATTTCTTTCGTTCTAGAGGGCAGCGGGGGCATCGACCTCACGAGGGTCCGGGATCCGTGGAAGGGGGTGGAGTAGTTGAGGGCAATTGGGTAATTTGAAGTAATCATCGTTTTGGGCACGCTCAGGGGCCAGGGCTGATAATCTTAGGTCAGGAGCTGCGTGACGAAGCAAAGTGGAAGGTCTGTTGATGGTTCACGGTACTAAGGAGTATAGGGAAAACAAACCGAGTCCCCCGGAATTCATCCGAGGACAGAATTGTTATTTATACCTGTATTGGACGGAGGACGTTCCGTACGTTCGAACGAATCGGAAAGGAGAATGATGGTGTCAGCCCGGTAGGCGGAGGGTGGTTCCCGCCCGGACCTAGTGTTGCCAGGACTCGCCTACCTTTACGCGCATCAGCCGGGAGTGAAATTTTCTCCAATCCTGTAGTGCACCACTTCGCCTGGGGAGAACCGATTACTGTGGTAACTCGAGGAAAGTCCTGTTTCGGGCGATCAAATAGACGTCTTTCATCTTGCTAGGTATGGGGGTGGAATTGGATTACTACGACACTCAGCTTTTCCTCACCCTCTGCTCTCCTGTCCGAGAAGTAACTCAATAAGGCCTCGGGAATCGGGAACTCGTAGGCGGACGCAAATCTGCTCGGTTCTGATAGAACTAAGTGCCCTGGTTCCACACCTTGAGCGTGAAGGAGGTAGTAGGGTGTAAGAGAATTGATAGAAGTGTCCTAGCCGATTTTCCCCAAGTTGCCCCTGGTCGGCACTAAAGCCGGTCTCGGTAAGTTCTGTCCGGACTGTTGCCTAAATCGGAGTGATTGCCGGGATTCTTCGGATCGCCTCAAGTATTGTGAGAAGGGTGGCAAGACCGAGCAAGTAATTAACCAGGAGTAAATCGTCAGCCCCGAAGGACTCAAGCCAGGTGGGAGGGTACCCACGCATACAGCGATCCCAAATGGCGGCACAATCAAGAGGAGAAGCACAAGGTCCCGATTCGGTGCAGGCAAGGCAAAGTAACTTGTCAAGCGTAAGGGACTCGGTGGGCAGGTGTTATGATGATGGAGTGTGCCCTAAGGGCATCCATTTGGGGAGGGTGGTGGAAGACGAAGGAGGGGAAAGATTCATAGTAAATGAGGAAGTTGAGGAGGTTAAAGAACAATGGCTGAAAGAAAGGTTGGTAATCGTAGTGTTTCAGGGAGACGCTCGTTCACTATCAAGAGCGGTCAAGGAAGATCTGATCAGAGCATTTGAGGACGGGTGGTCTATGAAGAAACTTTTCCAACCAGAAGCAAGACGGGGCAGGGTAAAATTCGAAGGGCCAAACGTAGCCTCATACGTGGTGAAAGCCAAGGAGATCGCGGGTTGGCTAATCCAACAGAAGGAGATGTCGATCAAGCTGGAGGAGGGGAAAAACTACACAGTCCAATTTAGCCCAAGGCTATCTAAGCAGGAACTGAAGGTGGTCAGAATCCAAGAGGCCGAATCCAAATCCTGGATTATGGCTCTGAGGGTACCCCTGGAAGCGTACTTCTACTTGGGAAGCGCTGTGGAGGCCATATTCGGCAGGTACACATCGATGCAGTTACCTGAGTATGACCGAGACAGACTGTAATTAATGAACGTAAAATTTGAAATGCCACCTGACTCTAGATCCAAGATAGAGGATGATTTGACCACCATCCAGTCGCCGAAGGGCGAAAGCTGGAAGGTGGAGATAGTGACCCCATATACCGACTGGTGTCGCAGATGCAGGTGGTATTTCCATACTGAAGATAACTGCCCGAAGTTCAAATCAAAGGGCGACGGGCGAGGGAGTCTCGGAGAAAGACCCGGTGGCCACAAAGCGAGATTCAGGCAGCACTTGCAGGACCAAGAACGCGTTCCACAAGCAAGAGCCGAAGGCAGTAGGGAGCCAATACGGTCGCAGCTACCGCCCATTGGCACAACACGGAGTCCAGGTCCCACAGGGCCCCAGCCATCGGGACTTCCTCAGTACAACGGGGCTGGAGCAGCCTGTCTCAGCCGAATGCAGCTACAGACATCAAGGGAAGCTGGCAGAGACACAGGAGCTAACAACCAGTGGATCGGCCCGTCGGTCAGGCACTGGTCCGAGTCCCAAGGCATCAGGCATGACAGTGATCAAGGATTAGCCCACTGGCAAGGGGGAGAAATCCGCAGAGATCCCAGGAGCTGGGAGGAAGCAGAAGGCCTCAATAGGGGCATGCCCCTGCCCCCACTCCCACACCCAAGGGGTGACTGGTCAGGGGGCCAGGTAGGGAGAGACTGCCAAGCGTTCAGTCATACAGACATAGCACAGTTGAAATCTCCATCACACATGTTTTGGCATGGACAACAGCCAGTGGGGCTTGCTGGTATGGAGTACCAGTATCAGTTCAGAGAGCACCAGCATTCATCGCAGAACTATCATATTGATCACCCCCAGGCTCGGTACCCGAGTGACAACTACGATTGGAGGAGCTTCGCAGGTCGAGGTGCCTCCACTCTGGATTTCTCCAGGTGGGATGAGAGAGGTGGCGGTAGCAGAAGAACTCCGAGGACAAACAACAGGAGATGGGACACCTAGAAGGAGGGTTCAAGACGTGGCAGAGGAGACATCACCCCTACTTGGAGACAGAATCAGTCCACGGTCCCGGAAGGTCAGGGAGGTGGCCCAGGGCCCAGGGACACAGGCGCCAGACCAGATGCATACCAGACAATTGCAGAAGTGTTGTCAAAATCTTCAATCTCCTCCAGGTCCAAGATCAGGTGGGGCAGTGAGTGCTGTGAGGCGGACTATGGGGGTCTCCATAAATCCGCATCATCCTCCTCGCTGGAAAGCTCGGCACAGCCAGTTGCGGCCAAGGATATAGGTCCAGAAGGGACGCAGGCAGGCATTGGAGGCCCAGTGACACCGGGAAGAAATCAGATGGAATCAGTCCAAAGATGTCTGGTGCCTCTCCTCTGTACCAAGGCAAAGGATCGGGTGTACCTGCTGGCACTGACGGACGAAGATGGGTCGCCAAAGATTCAATCTCAGGTGGTGGAATGTTCACCTACACCAGCGTTGATCATGACAACCATGAAAGATCTGTACGGGGAACATGTACCAGTTAGGTTGGTTCCGCACTCATCGATGGTATCAGTTATCTGCGAAATGGTACAGGGCTATACCAAGATGTACTTTCCCATCCTGGACGCCCGCATTCCCCCTGAGACAGCAAGCCTCCTGGCGCAATCAGGGGTCAGATGGGTCCACATGGACCTGGTACGGGAGCGTAACATGCAAGAACTAGAAGCCATCAAGGTCCTACTTGGCATTTCAGGCCTAGTTCTACTGAATGTCAACGAGAAGCTGTTACTGGAGGAAAACCTTCACTTAGAGTTCCTGGCACAGAGCCTGTCGGACGAATGGTCAACCATGTCAAGAGCAAGTTCCTCGTGGGGCAGCTCCAGCAGACATACGAATTCCAGATCGAAAGCAAGCAGCAAACGCTGTGTAGCAGATCAGCAACAGCAGTCGGCTCAACGGTCACCCTCCCGCATCCAATCAAAAGGCGGACACATCCCGTAATGATGAACAAGCTTAAGACAACAATTTGGAATGTGAGGGGTCTGGGTGACACTAACGGTCGATCGAAGCGTAGAAGGGTGAGGTCATGGGTGCATGAGCGGAGAATTGGCTGCGTGATGTTGCAGGAATCCAAACTGAACGAAACCAAGTTGAGAGAGTTTGCAGGGTGGTGGGACGGCCCCCAAATCTGGTCCCCTGCTCAGGGGACTAGAGGTGGAGTGGGCATTCTCATCCACAAGGACATGCAAGCACAGGTCATTGATGCAGAGGCCGACCTGTGGGGGAGATGGGCCTGGATCAAGGCAGTGATAGGAGGGGAGAAATGGGTGTTAATGACTGTCTATGCGCCAACAAACTGGCGGGAAAGGGCAAAGTTCTTCCTGAAGCTGAAGACTATTGTCCCTAAGGCAGATAGACTGCTGGTTGTTGGAGATTGGAATGTATCGCTGGATGAGGCGCTGCGGCCTGGCGCCGCGAGCGCCGGCAGAGGGGATGTGCAAGCCTTGCTGGACCTTAATGCAGAGATGATGCTTTTGAACCCGTTCCCAGTGCTAAACCAAGAAGACCCGGGTTATACCTGGTTTTCCAACCTGTTCAGGAACAGACAGGACATTACCAGGAGGCGTCTTGACTACTTCCTGCTGAGCGAGGAAATTTTGGAAAGGGTCACAGCGGTCCGCCAATTCTGTCACCCCATGTCAGATCACAAACCAGTGGTGGTGGAAGCCGCAGGTGCTGAGCGTGGGAAAGGCTTCTTCCGTTTGAACAGTCAAGTGCTTGAGGAACCAGGCATAGGGGAGTGGGTTGAGGACCACATGTCCAGATGGGAGGAGGCGAGACCGTTCTTTGAAACACCGACGGATTGGCTAGACGGAGGTATTGCCATAGTTTCGGGCGTGTTGGATGTGTGCTCAAGAATCCTAGCCAGGGCAAGGAACTCGAAGGAAGCGGAATACCTGCGAAAAATTGAAGAAGCAGAAGACAGGATGGAGGGGCATCCCATCTCGGTGATGGTATGGGCGGCCGAAAGAGAAAGGAGAATGACGGAGTGGAATGGCCTGCAGGAGGAGAGAGAGAAAAGATGGGTGGAGATGTTGCGATTAAAGGGAGTGGAAACTCACGACAAGATGACAAGGGCGACATTTTAGTAATTGCAGCCGCGACGGTCGCAACAACAAATGGTGGAACTCCGACACCCCTTCAATGTTGCAGCCCCCCCGGCTTGTTCTCCCTTGGGTATGCTGCAGTACGCGAGGCTGTACTACTCGAACATCCTAACATCGAGGCGGCCTCATGACAATGTGGACACAGACCTATCACTCATGTCGGATACGTGGGAAGATACAACAACTGGGCTGCATGGAGGCGGAAAACTTGACTTGGATCGCCCGCTCACCTTGGAGGAGATCTCCCAAATGCTCAAGACCATGGCGAAGGGCAAATCTCCAAGGGTGGACGGCCTCACGGTCGAGTTCTATGCTGCTAACTGGGTCGTCTTCGGACCCTTACTTGTGGAACTATACAATGGGATCCTGGTTGGGGGTAAACTAGGGAAGGGGATGACGCATGGTGTGATCGTTGTTCTGTTCAAGAAGGGAGACAAGGCCGATGTAAGGAACTGGAGGCCCATTTCGTTGCTCAACGTGTCCTACAAGATTCTGGGCAAATCCTTGGCCAGAAGGCTAGCAAGGTATCTGCTGGACCTAGTGGCCCCCGACCAAGTTGCGTTCGTGCAGGGTCGCTCAATCTTCGACAACATAGTGACGACAATCGAAACACTAGAGGTGGTGCAGAACGAGAATCTGGATTACGCCGTCCTCCTGCTTGATTTGGAGAAGGCGTACGGCAAAGTAGGGTGGACTTTCGTACTCACCACACTGCATTGGTTAGGCTTTGGGGAAGGGTTCTACGCATGGGTAATTGCATTGTACACATTCTCCACAGCCTTTGTTATGATCAATGGGCACCTGTCTGAACCTTTCCCTCTCACAAGGTCCCTCAGGCAAGGCTGCCCACTAGCACCTCTAATCTTCGTGATTCAGTTGGAGGTGTTGCTGAACAAAATCCGCGCCCAACCGGTTATCCGTGGTCTGCAACTGCACACGGGCAACGAATGCAAGGTGAAGGCGCTGGCCGACGACCTCTTCGCTGTATGTGAAAACTCTGTGCCAGCTCTCTCAGCGATGAAGAGTGTACTATGTGAATACTCCGTGCTGTCGGAGGCTTCTGTGAACTGGAGTAAATCGACCTACCTGCTCCCAGCTCAGTTCGAACTTAAGGTAGAGTGGGGCATGAAGAGAGTGGCGAAAGGGGAAGAGGAACGATTCTTGGGTGTCATGATAAGTTTGCAGGTTGAAGCGTCGTCGCAGGGCTTTCAACTCCAGCAGCGGATCGCATCTAGGCTAAGGGTATGGGGCTCTGCGTGACACCTATCACTGATAGGCAGAGCGCTGGCGGCCAATGTTGCCCTGTTCTCCATCGCACGGTGTACGAACTGGCCGACAGTGTGGCAAGAGCCATTCGGAGACTGGTGGCACGCTTCATCTGGAAACCCAAGGCCCAAAACTCAGAGTCGTTCACCCTGTCCTTCCCACGTGACAAAGGGGGACTCGGCCTGGTGGACCCAGCAAGGAAGAACAAAGCTCAGTTGCTGTGTTGGATAAAGAAGGTGGCTGGCCTGGGGGTGGCGGAACACTGGGTAGCCCTGGCGGATCGTATCCTAATGGTTGAATGGGAGCTAAGCCGTCCGAAAGACGTCTGGTCCTGCCTGTTCATGCCTTCCTTCAGGAAAAAGAGACTCAGATCGGGATTCTGGGAACCCATCAGAAAATCTTGGAAGAAGATGCCGCCGGACTCAAGGACCTCCCCCACCACAAAGGAGGAAGTGCTGAACCAACTGCTGTTTGAGAATCCAACAGTGGTAGACAGCACGGGCGCCCCCTTCCTCGCGGATGGAAGCCCAGGGACATTTGGACAAGCCTGGGTTAGAAGAGGGGTTGTGAAGATGGAGGACATCTGGTCCCTGACGTTAGGAGGATGGACCCCCTTCAGAGAGCTCAAGCTGGTTCTAAGGGGCCTGCAGCGCACGGAAGAACAATGGAACCAGCTCACACAGGCGATACCGCAGGAATGGTTACGAATCCTTGGTCCGGAGAGTATCGATCCCACAGGCACGTGGTATATCTCGAACACCGAACCCCGAGGGGATGTCCTCTGGAAGGTCTTGGAAACCCTGCCCAGCGGGTTCAGGAGGGTGGAGAGGTGGAGAACCGATGAGCCACTAAACCTGCTGTCCTTTGTGGAAACAACGACAGCCACAGTATGGGACAATCCGAGTCAAGCGAGAGTGGTGGAAGTGGTCACCAAAGAGTCAAGGGCAAGGCGACTTTCTTGGGTGGGCAGGGTGCCGCTGAGAAGTCTGCGGTTCGACCCCCTAGCCTGGAACTGGTCAGCCATCGCAACAGGAGGTAAAGAGACCAGCTTGCAGGAGTACACAGTCGCCCTGGGGTATCAAATTGCCTCCAAAACCCTGAAGTCTCCAGCGAAAGTGGCGGTGTCCAGGTGGCAAGCCGTGTTGCAAGGAGAAAGCGTTGGGTCAGAACAAGACTTCGAGGACCTGTGGAAGAATCTAACCAAGTTGCCCAATGGCAAGCAAGCAAGCATTCTGTGGCTGCTGTCCCTTTTAGTCACCCCGTCAGCAGTTTGGCTGATCAGTAGGGGCCTGCAGGTGGAACTGGGCTGTCCAAGGTGCAGATGGCCTTTCGAGTCCACGAGGCACCTATGGTGGGAGTGCCCAGCATCTAAGCGAGTCTGGAGATGGTGGGAATACCATTGGAAGAAGTTTGGAGGCCAGGGAGTAGATTGGAATGAGAGATGGGTGCTGTTGGGATTCCTTCCCCCTTCTCTGAAAGGTTGCAGAGGGTGGGGCTACATTGCTAATGTGGCAAGAGGCCTGATCTGCGAGGCGATTTGGCTGGACAGAAACAGAGCAAGATTCCAGCAGAAGCCCTTCTCAGACACGGAGATCAAGAGGCACATCAAGCAAGGGCTCAAACAGGCAATCCGGGTAGATTGGAGGAGGATGGCCAAGGCAGGGAGGGGCAACAACAGACAACGCCGCTGGTTCCTACGTACCTTGGCAAAGAATCACCAGCTGGCAAGCATCCACCCGGAGAAGGGTCTGGTTCTTTCGCATTGGATTGAGCAGTTAGACAATCAGGGCACCGGTTAGACATGTGAGCACTAGGTAGGTAGGGAGTAAACCGGTTCACTTGGCGTTCTCCTAGGCTCGCTGTGAGCCTGTAGTTGGTGATCAGGACACTCGGTCCCTTTTTTGGCCGCTGTGGGCCGTTAGGTGAGTGTCTTTAGATAGGGATCCACCCCACTGGGCCGAGTTAGTCCCAGGGGTTGGCTAAGCAGTGGAAGTTTACAGTATATATTCAGGTCCTACATTGAGTTGTGAGGTTACAGCTACAGCTACTTCAGAGCTGTTGGTTTTTCAACAGTAATCGGTTAGAACAGGAAGGAGTTATATGTGTCTGTGTGTTCAGTCGTATTGAGCATTTACCTAAAATTGTAGAGAGGAACCTGGAAAGTCGGTAGTTTGGGACTTTCCGCAGGCGCAGGCCTGTAAGCTAAGCTGGCTGATGCTGTCAGTATTCCGGGTTGAAGTGTGAGGTCCCCGGCCTCTTTGTTGCATTTTATATTAACACTTTCAGTTTGGGGAAAAAAAAAAACAAAAAAAAAACGATACACTCTCACCGTTTGTTCGTCTTTTTCGTATTTGGAGACTGCGAGGGCGAGGCAAATTCGCTGACCAGGCGTTCCGTATCTGATCGAAAAATGCGGTCGGTTTCACTCCGAACATCTCTCTCGCCGCTAAGAAGGGGAAGAAGGGGGAGCGGTAGTAGCTCCTGGGAATTTATGAACGGTTCCGTGATTGGCAGCTATGGTGGTTGATTCCCCGCATGGCACTGTCACAATGTATCTGGACAACCCTGGCGTCTAGAACCAGATCATGGACTGGACGTCTGAACGACCAGGTGCAGCCTGAGAGAGGAAACCTGAGAGATTTCCAGCTCGTTGATGAGAATCGGGAAATGTTTCCAGATTTGACGATGGGAAGTGCTCCCAAATTCCTAATATAGTACTAAAAAAAAAAAGAAAAAAAAAAAAAAGGGTAACCACTCATTCCGTCAATCGCTACCGTCTTCACCCCCGAACAGAACGCCCAGTCAGTGGTGGTGTATGTGGGGCAACTTGCAGTCTAGATACAGCGAGAATCACCGGGCGTTGTATTCGGGTGAAGACGGTAGGGAGGGCCTTATCCATGACAACAGAATAGATAAGGGGCCTCGCTGCACTACTCTCGACATGCACAAAAGACAAAAATCATGGCGGTGCATCTTTCCATATTCTAGCGGAAGATTCACTCTCGTTTTGCACATTTTTCGAGAGTAGTGCAGCGAGGTCTAGGGTTAAGTATTACTGGTGGATAGACTCACACACGGGCGCTCAGCGATCTTGCTTGCCTGAATGTGGCCTTTATCGAGGTCAGGTGCACCTCGATAGGCCGCTGGCTCGCGTTTGATTCAGCCCTCACTATCGAGAGACAGCCCCGCCGTCAAGTGCCTATCGCCACGTGTCAGATGGGTACACGAGACAGAGCCAACCGGTCGACAGGACACGTGGCAGGTTGAAGGAGCAAAGCAGGTGGCAGGTTGAAGGAGCAAAGCACGTGGTAGGAACTGTGCAGGCTAACGGTCTATCGATCTATCAATCAACGAGTTGGGAGCCCAAACCTCTTCTGGATACGAGAGTGTCAAACGGAGAGAGAGAGAGAGAGAGAGAGAGAGAGAGAGAGAGAGAGAGAGAGAGAGAGAGAGAGAGAGAGAGAGAGAGGGGAAGAATGATAACCTAGGTGAGCTAAAAAGCAGGTTCATTGAACTCGAAGTGAAAACTTTTGGCAGCTGACGGGTGGAAGGAAGAAGATAGCGATAGCGTCATCAATCGATCGAAGAGCAGATCGAACGGACAAGATGAGTCACAAGAAGTCATGCCCCTTCACATTGGTTCCATGGCACTCGAACGAGGAATGGGACCAGGTTCGGAGATGGCTTTTGTCAACCAATACCGCAGAAGTTCAGCTGGGGATCGATCGTGTAAGTTCCTTTTTTTCCCCTTTCTTTCACATTTTCTCGGTTGGGTTAGGGTGGGAGGTTAGCGAAGAGCAATTGCGCAGCAGTACTCATTGGCTTGGCTTGGTTGTGCTCGTTTTTTCCTTTTTATTTTTTTTCTGGTGGGGGGGGGAAGGGGGGGAGGAAGAGTTTGTATATGGAGGGCGAGGGAGAGGTTGGGTTGGAAACGGGGATAAACAGACACCAACTGAGCGGGCGTAGCCCAGTTGGTATACCATCTGGATTCGAACGCAGGAACTGGTCAAATACAGACAGACCTGCGTTCAAATCCAGATGGAATGTCGATGAATGAAATCAAATACCGTAAGTCTGAATTGACCAGGGGCGGGTGAGGTTTGACAAGGATATCTCACGGCTGTCGCTTTTCAGCAAAAAAAAAAAAAAAAAAAAAAACGAAATGGGGAGGAGAGGGGGGGGGGGGGGAGAAGGATCAGAGACTGAGGGTGAATTGGGGCATGCTTTCCTCTTTTTCGATAGGATGTCTCTGGATGCATGTTACCGTAGTTCCTGCCCAGGTTCATCCAAAAGAGTCTCTAGTGTGCGTATATGACCTAAATTCGTAATAATTTCGTATTCTATGAACAGAGTTGCACACACACAGAGACAGAGAGAGAGAGAGAGAGAGAGAGAGAGAGAGAGAGAGAGAGAGAGAGAGAGAACAGAGTAGTAAATGTGCTCTGCACCTGGCCCACGTGGCTGAATTGTAAACACGAGCGTAGGGCAGATACAAGTAGAGACTTTCGTCAATGAACGTGGCCACGAACTACGGTGAAATGCATCCCTAGAAGGAGCCGTACTTTTTTCAGTGTATGAATTGTACGCACATGTGACTGTTAATAATCAGGTCTTGAGTTCGAATTCTGTCCCCGAATCAGATGGATTCTGTATTTATATACGTATTTATATATCTTCTACATTCATACATATATACATATGCATATGTAGATTCATATGTATATATAGATTATAGATTCGGCCAAACTCCGACGAAACAGTTTGTCACAGCCCGGGCCCTCCTTTGTTGTCCTCTTCTCCCTCCCTCCCTCTCTGCCTACTACGGTTTACCGGGCAGCTATTTTGTGACAATATATATATATTTATATATGTATTGTCACAAGAATATATTGATGTAGAAGTCTTACCTTGCAAACACAGTGGAAAGAAAGAGAGAGATTGTGCATCCGATGAGAGGGAGCGAGATGAAGAAGAGGGAGATGTATCAGAAAAATAAAGAAGTCGCTTGGTGAGTGAAAAAAGGAAAGAAATGAAAGGAAGTGGCAAGGGGGGGGGGGAGGGGGGGGGACGACAACGAGGATGAGAAAAAAAAAAGAAAAGAAGCCAAGTGAAGTGCAAGCATGTGGGGAGTGGGTAAAAATGAACAGCAAGGAGTGGAAGAAGGAGAAAGGGGGGGGGGGGGGGGGGGAGGGGGGGGGGGGGGGGGGGGGGGGGGGGGGGGGGGGGGGGGGGGGGGGGAAAGGGGGGGGAAGGGAGAGAGGGGGGGGAAGCAAAAGGTCAAAGGAAAGAATGTAGATCCAGACAAATCATATAGGAACAACAAATGGGGGAGTGCATCTAGACTTGTTTCGTTGGTCGGTGCATACCATTCCGATTGTCAATCATGAAATGAATCTTGTTTGTACTTGCTTTCCTTATCGGCGTACTTGAAATCATTGATGGCTGGGCGAACTGAATGAAGTAAAATCTATCAGTCAGTCAATCAATCAATCAATCAATCAGCTTTTGATCAATCAATCAATCAATCAAACAATCAATCAATGGAGCGAGAAATTAATCAATCGAGCGAGCAATCAATCAATCGAGCGATCGATCTGTCAATCGAGCGAGCAATCAATCAATCGAGCAATCGAGCAGTGAATCGACGAAGTCGAAGCGGCCGTCGATCCCCGGACTCGACTAATCAATCAATCAAGCGAGCAATCAATCAATC